CTTTGGCATGTCATGCATGGCATGTGATGTTGTGATGAGTTCCTGAGGTTGTGCTTTATCAGTAATAATAGAATTGGGGTGGCAGTGTTGATTTAAGGATGTTAGGTTCTAAGAGGAGGGAGTGGCTGGACCGCTTAGTACAGCCRGATAAGCCGGTGCCGGTGGCGCCGGAGACATGACTAAGGCACATCATGCACAACATGTCTAACTATGAATGACATGTAAATGCAGTAGTGAATTTTCTATTTTCTTTGTTCCTTTTTTATGAATGGTTTCAGCTTTCATGAACTGTTAAGAGGTGTTCCTTTCTTATATACAAAATCCTTAGTTTTAGATATATACAATGCATTCAATAAAATGGGATTAGTTAATAATGGAATGAAAGGATAGAATATTGATTTGAAGGGGTGTCATTTAAGGGAGAAATCTTCTGCAAAATCTTGCCTGGACTGAGCAAAAATCCTGAAAGATAAATAGTTGAATGGTTGAAATAAATCCATTTGATGATTAAGGAATCGACCCAGCCAAGCCAAATCATGTTTCATAGGCTCATAGCTATAAATTCTCTAATGCTATGTTTGGATTGATGAACTTTCTGCTAGCTTCTCTCTTATTTTCTTTCAAAACAAACACAGACACACAGCCTAAGAGAACAAAACAAGAAACAATGGCATGTTTTCTGTCCAGAACAAAAGTTATGGCAAGCTGGTTCCTCATTTGATATGTGTTTTTCATGTTTGAAAAGAATTTGTTAGGTGCTAAAATGTGGATGTATGTCAACCCAACACCAATTAACTTCTCCATAGATTCTAAAGTCATCCCACTAAATCACCAAAAAGTCTAAGAATGAGAAGGATTTCCATTTCAAGGGAGGGGGCATTCATTCATTCAACTAATTAATTTCAACGGGAAATCCATTGGTGGAAGAAGAATTACCACAAGGACAAAGAAGATTTACCAGAGGTCAATCAAGATAAATATGAGAGAGAGAGAGAGACTGTACTTTTGAATCATTTGTTTTGAAACAAGGACTGAGATGGGTTTTTTTTTATTGAGTTGAAACTTGAAAAAATGCAAAGGTGGGCAAAAGAAGAGAAATTTAAAGAGGAAGGCACTTTCCACCTGTCGGTTAAGAGGGAGAGAATCCAATGACTTCGGTTCTCAAGTCACAACTCCTGACTCTCACTCGTATCGCGAGAAATCAAGGGAAGGCAGTAAATGATCTTCACATTCAAATGGGGTAACAGTCGGAAACTTTTTAATCACAAATTCTGTACCTAACTTACTAACTTGTAGATTAGATTATCAAATAAGGTAGTCTCTCTCTCTCTCTCTGTATTCAATTCATGGACGCAAATTACAGCCCAAAAACCCATCCTATGTATCTAAGACAAGCATCATTTTTTTTTATATAATTAATTTTATCAAGATTCAAAATATTGATACATAACAGTCGATACATATGCCCCTATAGATGGTGTATCGGGGTTTTGATCGATTCAGAAGGATCTTAAATTGGTTCCTTTGAATTGGATTTGAAAAAAAAACTAAAAAAACTATCGATACTACCCGATATGCCTCGGACATATATTTTGAACCTTATCTATAACTAATATTACTTGAATAAAATATGAGTTTAATGTGGTTTAACATAATCAAATTGTTCAGCTTTTCAAATTGAGCTAGTCATATCCCTCCATGCGGGAGGAACAAGTTCGTAAAACCATTTATGGAAGAACCCTAGTTAACTCAGTTCTGTTTTGTTAGTGCAATTAAATCTTCTCAAAACTTTATAGAAATAAGCTAAAATACTTATTAAATGTTGGGATAAATAACCTTTGACAAAACCCATGACTTTTTTGTTATTCTTTATCTTAGCAAATGCCATAACATTTTGTTTTAAATTCTATTTATTGTACAATTAATTTTATATTAAAATAGTTACTATTTTAACTCATTCACTCTGGTAAATAACCTTTAATTTCAATTTTCATGTTGCTTCACTTCCATGAAAGAGATCTAAGGTGAGCCTGTGAAGATGCAAGTTTTGTTCTATAGACTGGTAAGTGGGCCCTATATGAATTCTATGATTTATATCTTCAACTCTCGTTCTTTATTCTCTGCCACTGGCCCAACTACCAATTGTGCCCAAGGTCCATCACCTAATGTTGGTCTTGGCTATCATGGCCATCTGAGATGGATATCTAGGATTTGGCAATATTTTTGAAGTGACTATTCTCAGACTTGAACTTATGTTTTCATGCTTGTCAAACCGAGATTTTACCATTGCACTAATCAAGGGCCCCTCCTAATCATCAAGTGTGATGTGCTAATATTGGTCTTATCTATCGGGGGCGGATTAGACATATTTAAGTTTTGGAATTTTTTGCATAAAGTGGCTACTCTCAGACTTAAACCCACGTTTTTATGCTTGTCAGGCCGAGATTTTATCATTGCACCAAACAAGGGCCCTTCCCTATCACTGGGTGTGATGTACCGATATAATGGAAGGTGGTCTTGATTATCAAGGGTGGCCTAGATATATTATATATCTAAGATTTGGCATTTTTTGCACAAAAGTGGTTGCTCTCAGACTCAAACCCGTGTTTTTATGCATGTCAATTTACCATAGCACCAAACAAGGGCACATCCCAATCACCAAGTGTGATGTGCCAAAAAGTAATAGATTTTGCTGTTGTGAAACAATTTCCTCATATGATGTTAAGGTTTTCTTTAACCAGAGAGAAGAATCTTTTGTGTGAATTGTCACAATGCATTCATGGGTCAATTCTATATCAGTTTAATTCCTTGTAAAATCCTTACATGTATTTCATGTCCTTTGCTTGTACAATGTACTATTTCAATTTAGTCGAGTTTTTATTCTCTCCCCTATTCAGAAAATTTAACCAAGCAAGTATCTTTTGAGTAAGAAATGACAAATTAAACCAAGGTAGTTCATGTATGTGTTTCTCACTAGATAATAAATAACTATATAATTCCAAATTAATTTTTTTTTTTGTACAAAGGAAGTAAGCTCTATATAATTATATAAGGTAGGGGGCAGTTAGCTCCTGTCTTAAGATAGGCATTGGGACTAAGCACCGTTTGGTAGTATATTTAAAATGGCTGAATTGAATGATTTATTGCTTTTTTATTTTTTAGTAAATACGCGTTAAAGAGGCCGTTAGCTCCTTAATTGTCAAAGTTGAAGATGGATTTATTACAATATCTTTGAATAATTTATTACATAATTATTTCATCATTAATTCTGCTAGTGTGAATTTGTCTTACATCATCGGTCTCAAGCCTACGTAAAGGAGGGTTGCTTCAACTTGGTAACCGACACTAAACTTTTGCCAAACTCTTGGTTATGGACTACGAAATATTTAATCGACTAAAACATAGATAAATAAGTACAATTTCATTTTGAACATATAGGGAAAATCATTCAATGAGAATCTACATCCCATGGATGATGTTAAATTGCCAAAACTTGGTTTCAAGATCAAATTAAACCTAGAAGTGGAAGGGCTATCTTGTAAACTTTGGGTCCAAGGGGCATAACTGCATCATTCAAACTTGGTTTCAAGATTAAGTCCAAATGCCAGAGAAATGAGAATCATGCACATAAAACATTGTATCAGGATTCACCTAAGACCCGTCCCCCAACAAAAGCATTGAGGTTAAATCTCGCCTGACACTAGAGGTGTACATGGATCAGGCTTGAATTGGACTCAATCTAAATTAAAACCAATTTGAATAAATTGGATGGTCCAAACATTGAATTGGGCCACAAATGGATTCATATTTGATTGGACCAATATTCGATCCATTAAAAACTACCTGACACCAACCTAATCACAATAGTAATAATAAGACTAATTTACCCTGAAGTAGTGTTTAGTTTGATTAAAATTAAAGAGAAAGTTGAGAAAATATTAGGGCTGTTCATAAGAAGGCCCAAACCGATTAATCCAAACCGAGTCGACCGGGTTTTCATCAGCACGGGTCGGTTTCGGGTTGTGCAAATTCTTAAACCAATGATTCGGGTCGGTTTCGGTTTTCACACAAGAAAACCGAAACCGACCCAAACTGAACCGACTTAGTTCCTAGTTCAAACATGAAGTTCCAAAGCCCATTAGGCCACCTAGTTTTTGAATGGTTGCAAGAAAGTTTGGATTAGTGAATAGTGATTAATGAACAACTTTTGTGATTAACTTTTCATTTAAATTTTATCATAAGAGATGGCTGAAAATGATGTTCAATTTATGACTGTTTTTAAAATTAGCAAGATTTTATTACGGGGATGAACTTAGAACCGAAACCACCCAAACCAACACAACCTGACTCAAACCGACCAGGTCGGTTTTGCTTAACACTGGGTCGGTTTCGGTTTCTATGTCAAGTAACCCGATTAGATCGAATCAATTGAAAAAACCACAATAATCCAACCCAACCCGATTCATGAACAGCCCTAGAAAATATATATATACAATGAAAACTAATATCTTGGGATATTTTGAACCTTGCTTATGTTTTACTAAAATCATCATCACCATTATCACCGTTACATGAAATTAAACAAAATAAAATGTGCAAATGAGGTCCATTCAAGAAAGCAAGAGAATCGGTAGGTCTCTAATTCATTGCCAAGTATAATTCAGTGCCATATCCAATAAACCCAATTTATAGGATAAGTTTAGGGTTTAAAATTGCAGAGCCTATAGGATTTGGGTCGGGTCCAAGTGTTTTTCCTTGTTATTTCGTGATCCGACGCGATTATTCACTGCTCTAAATTCAACCATTCAGGTTATCACATTTGTATAGAACCCCAATAAGGCTATTTCCTAGTTACAATCAATGGGAACTCCTTAAATTAAATTTGGAGATATTGAAGGAAAATGAMAATATCACGAGAAATTGACAAGCAGAAAGCGCCCCAAACGCCCCCTCCCCCTCCTCAACCCTACCTTTCCTCTTCTACAGGTACAAATACACCCCCCGCTCCCTTTCCTCTCTCTCTCTCTCTCTCTCTCCATCCTATCTAACCAACAACCAACTCTCTCTCTCTCTTCCACCTGTGCATTGTGCTTTCCTTTCCCTCCCGACTCGCTTTTTGTTCCTCCATTTCGACTCTGCCTTTCTCCCTCCCTATTTCGCTCGCTCGCTCGCCGTTATCAGTCTCGATGAAAGCTTGGTAAAGCAGGCGGAAGTGGATATGGGGAAGTACATGAGGAAGGCTAAGATCACAGGCGAAGTCGCAGTCATGGAAGTCTCGCAGGCTTCTTTTGGGGTTCGAACCAGAGCTAAAACCCTAGCCTTACAGAGACTCCAGAAGACGACCCCGCCATCGACTACTACCAACTCGGGCACCTCTTATTTACAGCTCCGAAGCCGACGGCTCGAGAAGCCACCTCTTCTCGTCGCCAGCACCCACGAGACCAAGAAGCAACAGAGCGCATCCAAGGACAGCTGCAAGGGAAGCCCTAGCCCAAATCCTAGCCAAAACCCTAATGCGCGAACGAGTTCCAGGCTGGGCTCTGTGAATTCGGCTTCTGTTGGGTCGGTCTCGTTGAGTTGTTCCAAGAACGAGGAGAGCTTCTCGGCCAAGGAAGCGACCAAGTTGGAATTTAAGGAAGAGGAGACGCCGGAGAACAACAACGATGTGGGTGTTGAAGCTTCATTCGGGGAGAATGTTTTGGACATCGAAGCAAGGGATAGGTGGGTTTGGATCGTTTTGTGTGAGAAATTTCAGTTTTCCTTCTGTTTCATTATGGGGCTTTCCCATATATACATCTGCATAGAGTCTTCGATTCAGGGTTTATGGTATTTGGAGAAGTGTGTTTTCTAGCTAATGTAGTGGTGACTGGTGAGGTTCCCTCCTCTTCGGTTGCTCTTGAAAATCTTTTATTCTAGTACTTTTTCCCTTAATGGTGATTTCTTGCTTGCTGTTAGAGCTTAGAAGTTTTGTCTAGTTTATATACATAAATGGTTTATTCATCTGAGCTGTTTTATACTGTGGTCTGTTTTAGAAGGGTTTTGTGTTTACTTTAATGCTTGTTTGCTGGAGTTACATTTTTTTTTTTTGCTTTTCTAAAATTTTTTGGTGCTGTGGAGCTCTAAAGCTGCTCTGTTTTTGTGGAAGGTGGGTTTGAAAAGGAGATTTCTTTTGTTTGTTCTGATTCTTAAAAGAAACTCGCTTTATTTTGGGGTTTCATGGCTGAAAGTTTTTTCTTTTTTTTTTTTTGAATTTTCTTCTTTTTTCTGCTTTGCCTGAGAGAGAGGTATATATATCGTCTTTGTAAAATTTATAGTTCCTTTTCTGATTAATGTGTTAAACCTTTAACTGCAGAAAATATTTGCTTGAGTTTTGTTTCTTGTTGAGGGGACCTTTTATTTTCCATTTCTGTTCGTGTAGCCATGCATGCGCTTCCTTTTCTTCTTTTGTATTTGTTTTACCCCTTGGAACTTGGGTTTAGGAAGAGTTCTTTTTCATGGTTCATGAAATCTATCATCTTTTTTACTTAATAAATAAAAGTTTAAATATTTTCCTCTACTTATTTTATTTTATTTTTTCTCTTCTTTCTGAAACTTGGGCACCACTAAAATATAGGAATTGAAGTTATACAATGCTTATTCTGAACATGGATGCAATTATCTTCTGCTAATTAAAACTGCTCTCTTTTTCTAAGTATTTCTGGTGTCGTTTTCTACTTTTGTTTTCTCTCTTATTTGAAATCTCTCCTCTCCAGCTGATTTCAGGAATAAAATGGCCTTTATTTAACATTTATGGTTGATGTTGAGAGCTAGAAGTTTCTTAATGGAAAGTTATGGTTCTGGTTCAGGAGCGTGGGGTACACTCTGCAATAAAATTCTGTATTTAAGGTTTATTTATGTCTTGAGTTGTTTTTTCCGTTTAGATAAAACGGATTTCTTGTTTTTATTTGTTTTTTCAAAAAGCATTAATGGAAAGAAGAGAACGAAACTGATGTTTCTATAACAACTTGGCATAGTTTGGTGTAGGATTTGGGTTCTGCTTTTTCTTGGTTTTGGGTATCAGTTTTTCCTTTTGATCTGGGCTGGAGATCATTTGATAGACGATTAATAAATGAAAAATGGTTTTTTTAAGTTCTGATTTGTTTGTATACTTGAACTAAATTCATGTTGGAAAGGGAGAAGATAATTATGATAGCAATAACAATGATACATGTTCAGAGTTATATTTGGCTCGGATTGTATTCCTCTTTTCTCCTCCAAATTTGCAGAACCTTCTTGATAGGAATCTGGTACTTGGAATTGATAAAAAAACTGTTTACTTTGTATTCAAAATAAACTGTGGTGCATGCGGCCATTGTACTGGCTGAAGCATGTTTTTGGCTACTTCCATTTATCAGACTTAATGGGACAAAACTAGCAGGACATATTCTGTTCTGTATATGATCTTATCTAATATGAAATTCTGTTCTGCGCTATCATTCTGAATTCCTGCTTCCTTTTATCAGACTATATATGACCTAATTATTTGATGCTTYCCATGGTTTGGGGTTTCCGCAAGTGCTATATTCTGCTAATCAAACTAATCAGTTTTCTCTTATATTCTTTTGTGTAGTTTGTCCTAACTCTTCTTTAATTGTTTACAGGAGCACCAGGGAAACCACACCTTGTAGTTTGATAAGGGACTCGGACACCATAGGAACACCAGGTTCTACTACCAGGCCTGCCAATTCAACTGCAACCAACCGGAGAATACAGAGTGCAACACGAAGAAATATCCCAACAACGAATGAGATGGAGGAGTTCTTTGCTGGTGCAGAGCAGCAGCAACAGAGGCTATTCACTGAAAAGTATACCATATATTTCTAGAAATTATGATTAGGATTTAGTCACTGAGAGGAAGGATTTGTCTTTGTGACTAGTAACTAATAAACTTTTTTGTTTTTATATGGGATTTATGCAGGTATAACTTCGATCCTGTTAATGACATGCCTCTCCCTGGACGGTATGAATGGGTAAGGGTGGAGCCATAGATGGTGCCTGATGTTCCATTAGGGTTTCTTGCCCTGCAACTTCTCGATTGGTCTCATGATGTGGATAGGATTTTGAAGAGGGTGGCAGGGGGTTGACAGATGGTGGTGTTTATGGTGGTGGTTTCATTTTCCACCACCTTTCTTCTCTGTTGTAAAAAAAGGAAAACGATTTTAAAAGGAAAAAAAAAGGGCTGTCAAAGATACTGTAGTCTAATGGTCTGTACCATAGCAGAGCTGATGAGTTACACCTCAGTCAAATATAAATCCAAAGTCCTTTGTCTAACAGATCATTTGAGAAGGGGAAGGGAAAGAACTAAGAAGGTAGGATTAGGGTTCAATCAGATAGGTTGGTGCAAGGGGTATAGGAAATCACCAGATTTTGTTTCTTCTTTATCCTTTTTTTTTCTTTTTCTCTTCTTCCTTTTGTCTATACTGGAACTAATGGAACTTGATGACTCTCTCTGGAATAAGCATGGCCCATTTTCCCCTCTACATGTTTTGTCTTTTACTTAATCAGCATCTTTGATTTTCTCAGTTCAATTATTGCCTTCCTACGACAATATGCAACAGTGCATTAGCTATCAGATTAAGATGGTGATTCCTTTAACCATGTAACACCAGCTACTACTTGTTTCTATCCTTGTGATTTTAACTTTTTTTGTGACAAAATGCTGGGGTTATCTATTTTGGATGGACTTGGGAGAAATCTTACTTGAGGCTCTATTTGACAGATTTTGTAACCTGCGGTATAGGCCCAGGCCCTAGAGGGGGAGAGGCTATGGAGGCCATTTTCTCAAGTGGGCATTGTTGATTTCAATCTTGGAAATATGTTTCCTTTCACATGGGCCACTGTACCTTCTTTGACAGAGTTTGTATTTTTAACAATGTGTAACATCCGTGCAGTTTGGGGTTTTGAAGGGGGGGGTGCGATCGGTGATGAAGTCATGAAGATGAATTGGGCACGTCAAACTCATTTTGATGCGGTCTTGGACTCCTGCTGTACTGTGCTTACACACTGTTGCAGTGTTAATAATGCGTGTATTGACACAGACACTGTCTCCTTATGGTCATCCAACAGCCATGGCTGATGTCTCCTCTCTCTCCCCTCTGGTCTCTGCTGTGGGGTGGAATCAGCAATGGGTATGCTCTTTAAAGGTAGTTGGGACCCACCATTCTTGCAGAGAGCTTGGATATGRATATCACAAGTCCGTAAGTCATAACACCCCTGCGGCTTGGTTGAACTTCAACACCACGGACGGTTGGGCACTTGAGGTGACTGCAATTACAGAGCCACTGAATCATATTGCCTCATCACAACTCACAAGTAGATAACGCTAGCTCCATCTCCTTTGCTTGGCTGAAGGACTGACTTTGACCTGGTTGGAACCTCACTTGACACTTTCATGGTTAGCATGGAGAGGTTTGTTCTCACCGTTGCTTTTGAATCATACCCAGAAAAAAGTGCTACAACACTAGATGTCAGACAACTGGACAAGGGCAGGCAGGCCTATAGAAGCCAGAACTCTGGAACCAAACAAGCTCATTGATGTTTCTCTCTCTGCTCCATGGCTAACTAATGGAATTGGGTCATCTCGGGTGGGTCTTTCCTAGTGGAAGCTAGCTAGCTTCCGCTTCCAGCTCATTCTGACTGTCGTTAATAAAACGCCATATTTATTTGCAAGCTGGTTTTTACCTGACAAATGTTCTTAAAATGCATCTCCGAAAACCGAAATCGTTTCGGTTCTTCCGAGTCATTTATTTCACAATGATTTCATACATCTCAGGCCGTCCAAATGCTTGGCTGATGGCTCTGGCTGGCCTCTTCGGGACTGAACTGTAACTGGATTTGAAGGCTTGTAAAGTTGTGCTGTAATCCCCAGGCAACCTTACTGACTGCTGTCAGCTTGGGGCCATACCCTAACACCGTAGTTAAATCTGCCCATTAAGATGTTTGATATTTTGCCTAGTCTGCGAGCTGGTAGTAGTTTTTAATTTGGGAGTTGGGAACACCCATCCTAATATGCATTTATTAATTTGTTGACATGGGGTTGGGCCAGAACTATAAAACACATGGAGTTGCTGGCATCCTCTCCTTGGTCTATATCACAAACATGAGAAGTCTTAAGCCATATAAAAGGATCTGGGCACGAAAGACCAACAGTCATATAAAAGGTTCACACTCTAGCCTCTTTATTTGATAGACAAAATCCTTAACTTTGTCAAATCTGAAACTGCTGCTGAATCATGATAGACAGCACATCAACTTGATGTATGGTCCATTAGTCGACAGTGGTTTCAGATTTCCAGTAATGGTGTCCATCCATGTCTGCACACCAACCTCGCTGTGAGCATCCAAAGATCTCATCTGAATTAAGCTGTACCTTGCTCTGTAATAAACAATAATAAGGCCACAATGACACCATTGGAGTGTTGTCTTTTCCCAATGTTATCATGTAAAACCATTCTTTGTATGCTGTAATTTTCTTTTTACCATATAAACTGCACATGAATCAGTAGTGCATTTGAGTCGACGATGAATCAAAAACTCCACCCAACACAGTGAATTAGTAGTCTTTGGTAAATTTTGATTTAAGACCGACCCTCTGGATTATCCACCTGTCTTCTGTCCTTACCAAATCCAGCCCCATACTTCTTTGTAGGGGGTCTCAAGGACACAACAAATACCCGTTTGGTTTGTTGTGCCGCACCATGACGCATGTAACAATATGTGGCTCTGGATTAGAACCAACTCATTTCTAACGCCCAATGTTCAAAGTATCAATACTTATAGTGGTGCCGATAGCTCTCAGACCATGGTTCAAAGGATAACCGAGACTTAAATCGATCCCTCTGAATCGGTTTTGAAAAAATAAATAAATAAAATATAAAAAAATACCGATACAGTCAATACTCTGAACCTTGTTAACGCCATGTTTGGGAAGCAATGCCATTTTCTGAGATTTTGTTTTTTTTTTTTTGAGAAAGAGATGCTGTATTTTTCATATCATTTCATCAGAAAACTTTTTTTTTGGGGACCTTTGCTGTCACATAGGTGTTTTTCAATGCCATATACCTATTGCTAGCAACAGTAAAATAATGAGAAAATGCCGGAAAAAGATTTATCAGATCACACCTTTTCCAAACTCAGGCATAATATGAAAAACGGGTTTTCATTGAAAATGACATCAATTCCAAACACTAAGTCAGTGTGGGTTTTGGTACTCTGGGTCAAGGTTCAAAGTATCGACACGTATCGGTCAATACGTATTGTTCCAGCACCCCACCGATATGCCCCTATAGTGGGTGTATCGGTTCAGTGGTCTGACCGGTTCAGGGTGTGACGAAGACCTAAACCGGCTCCCCTTAATCAGTTGGCGAAAAAAAAAACCACCAAAAGGAGTATCGATTCGTCCGATACGGCCATACCGGCAAATTGGGCGTATCGATATTTTGAACCTTGCTCTGGGTTGCATTGGAATTTGGAAATCAAAAGAAGTTCTAAGGTTGGATTGGAATTGGGTTTGATCTGCTGGGAACAACTTGGTGTGGGCCAACCCAAAACCCGATGGTCCATTCTGATTTTGGGACCGATTGGATTGGACCAACCTGACTCAACCCATATATTATATTTTACTGTTTATGCATGTATCATGTATAAACTATAATACTAAAACCATATTAGATTCTTTCGTGCATTGGTTGGACTAACCTGATCTAACCCAACCCGACCCGGCTATGAAAGTCAGGCTACTCGGATTGTTTTTAAGGTCAAATATTCTAAGATCGGTTTGAACTCATCCGGTTGAGCCGGGTTGGGTCTATTAGAGATGAGATGCCCAACAAATTTAACTGAAATTCTAATCTTAAACCAATTATGTTTCAGCTAGCCTTGTTGTTTAGTCGAGTTTGGTGCTTAGTACCTTGTATGAGGCTTGGTGCTTAGCTAGATTTCAACCTTTCCTTACAATTTAATCCTTTCAACCTATATCTTGAGATATTCCCAATGTGCGGTTGGATGCGTGTACTTTCAGAGTGTGTACATAAAACCTGATCTAATCTGACTTCATATTAGATTCGTATTTTTCAACCCTAATCCAACCCAATCCACCCGAACGACCATTGTTTTTCTATTCAAAAGTGATCTGTTACAAATTGAAAGGACTAGAAAATAATATCAAAAAGGACATAGATAGAAATAATAAAAAATGATTTAAATGCCCATGAATATGACACTAAACAGAACGGAATAGCAGAATAGGATTTATGTAACCGACTCCATATAATTGAGATATATGACGAGGATGGGGATGATGTCGGATTCGGGTTGCCAAATGTCACTTGTTGCAGAGCTCTTCTCCATGGCCCCCTATGATTTCAAAGGTTTGTTCTCTCTCGCACATGCACTTAGGAAAGAAGTAAATGCAGCGTAGCTATCAAATTAATTAATTCATGAATTGGTCCCACAATAGGGTTGAAGTTGAAAGTGAATATGACACTGTGTAGTTGCTAAAAACCAAGGGTGAGTTCAAAATCAAGCAACTGTGCTTGTGATTGAATCTCCCGTATTTCACTGCAAACAACCGACCACCAAGCGCTTGCCCATCAAAGTAAAGAGGAAGACTTCTTTGGCTTGGCCAAATGGCTGAGCCCATTGCACAAAACGGGGGGACATACTCAGCATCCAATGCTGCTGCTCACATGGCTTTGTTTTCAACTTTTATTAATGCAGTTGCAAATTGCAATAATGTCTCTCTTTGTGTGCATGGGAGAACATTATATTTGAGTGAACGTTACGATATATCTTGATACACTACAAATTTTGAATTGAAATATCCCATCACCTCCAAACTGATGGCCCACTAATCAACTTCAGACTTAAACTCAGAAAGAAGAATTCCAAATCATAATCCAGAACTCCTTTATGAGTTGGGATCAAGTGTAGGGCCCGTAAATTTTGGGTTCGAGCCTAGGTTTTTGTGTTCAGGCCCAAACTCACAATTTCCAGTTTAGGCTCAGTATTATTTGTACATATGTTATAATTTATATTATATATAAATGTTTTAATATGAGACCTACAATATATATATATTCTATATGAAATAAATTTGGGTCATTTATTAAAATACCCCCGGTATATTGCAATCCATTTACTTAACTGACCTTCCATTAGATGGTAGAGGAAAATGACAGTTTTGACCTTAATGTCCATTTGGATAAGTTTAATTAAAAGAAAATAAAAATGAAAATACCATTTTTGTCCCTATTAAGACATAGGCAACCACTCTATTTTGATCTATTTGGTAAATTTTGTTTTCTATATGAAGAAGTGTTAGGGATACTTTTGGAATAAAGAATCGTAGGCCCATGCCGTTGAAGATTTTCCATTTAGTTTAGGTGATCATGTTACTATTATCAGATGGAAAAACAAATACTTCTTAATGAATGATCGATTAAGTAAATAGGTTGCAAACTATAGGAAGTGTTTTAGTAAAATGAAAACTATATGATAAGTTCAAGTAAATCCATGAAACTATAGGAGGTGTTCTAGTAAATGATCCAATAAATTTTAAGGGTTTTTATAGTTTAGTCCACTCTTAAGATGGAGTTAAGATTTCTAGAGGTGGACTGAACCCTGCCCATGGATTGATACCAAATTTACGGGCAGGATGCGGTTTATAAGGGTGGGGGGGGGGGGGCTACTAGTAGATTAGAATTGCATTCCACTTATCGCTAAATTTTATACATAAATCACGTGATATTTAATATAAAATGTTATATCTAATTAATATTTATAAGTAAAGCCAGCCCAGTCCATCATTATCCCTAGTCAAAAGGTTGCTATTGAGCCTTGTAAACAATTTTTATCTCCTTTGCCACTTTTCCTTCTTAATTTGCATTAAACTATTAATTACGTATACATGGATTGGCAACTTGTAACCTTACTCAACTATCAAAGAATTTTCATGGTTATTGGATTGACATCTATGCAGTCAATTAAGCGAGGAGAGGATCTGTTGACTTTCATAATTTTTTTTTATAAATAATTAAGGTGCATTACTGCATGTTAAATTCGGATATCAACTGAACAAGTTAAAGCCTGCTTACTTTTTTATTTATTCGTGGTATATAAGATGCTTTTTAATGTTTAACAGGTAATACTTAGGCTCCSTTCGCTTTTCGATAAGTTATTTATCCGGGTAAATATAATTATTTGGGTAAATTTTTCTTGAGAAATACTTACTCGAGTAAGTGCATTTAYCCATGCTCTTTTATTTCCTAGGTAAATAAGGCAATGGCCATTTTAACCATAAAAATCTATTATTAAAAGGGGCATTTTTGTCCCATTCAAGTGTTGACAACTTTCCCCTACCTGGGTAAGTGATACCCAAGAAAATAAACTTTCATTGGTCCTCACATAAATATGAAAAAAGAACATGAGATTCTTGGTTAATGGGAACCAAAATCTCATTGACCAACTTTCYCCTCTCAAAATCCCAAAAAAGAACGCCCCCTTACTGTCCTATTTTTTTTAAGGCACTATCATGTTAATCAATAATGTCTTTTGTTACACAGTGCAGTGGATGCACCATAGATTTTGTCTAATAAAAAGAATAATTAAATTGTCATATTTTACAATCAGTTTTTTTTTTTTCTTTTTGATAGAAACTGTAAGGGGCTACA